CTACCAGGAGTTGCGGAGAAAGCAGTCAGACTTCCTAATCTCAGACGTATTTCCCAACACCCCGAATTATTTTGTTTAAAGCAGACACCCGAGTTTCCAATTTGACATCAACTGAGACTCTTGTAATCCCTGTTTAATCCAGAGGTCTGCCAAGGACTGCAGGCGCCGCAAAACCAGTGATCAGCCGTCCAACCACAGCCAGAATACAGAGAGCAGCTGTTCAACGCCAGAGTCAGTGCAGGAGCTCTCAGATGATGATGGCAAGTATTTGTGTATCACTGGGTCAGGCTTTAATGTTCTTCCCTTTGTACCTTATTCCTCGAGCCAGCCCTGGGACATTTCCCAGCCCAGTTAATACCATGGGCCAACAGCCCACAGGCAAACACACAGAATGTTCTGCATTTCTGTTCTCTGTATGTATTGCCTCTCTGCCTTACACTATCCATGCCAACAAGGGCTTCCCACTCCTGGCACAAACATGTTGAAAAAATACACTGACATTCCAGTCAACAGATAGGAAACAGCCCTTGTCATTCTCTTTTCTCTGCTTTTGTTAGAGGTGACCTTGAATGTTTCAGAGATAGGGGCAGGTGCGAGCACTCCGTTCTCCTCCCCTCAGCTGGGGAGCATGCTGCCAAAATTGCCTGAGAGCTGACTGAGAAAGGCCTCTAAGCCAGTGTCACAGGACCTGTTCCAGTGGCCTGAGTCTTCAGGGTGGAAGATTCTGTTCCCTGTCTCCTTCTCTCTGTGTTTCTTCCTGAAAGCATCCCCCTGGCTGTGACAATTAGATCACAGCCAGCCGTTTGCTGGGTGAATCTGTGTTGTGTTTCATCACTACCACTAGAATGGTGATGCAAAACATAATTCTCCTTCAATACTTTGCCACAGGGTTTGAAAGCCTGTGTGCTCAGTGTGGGAAAGAAATGAATCACCTGAAGGAAATTCACTCAGCCGTCTTATCTCTACAGAGAGCCCAACAAGACATACACAGGTAACTATTTGCTGTCATCAAATCAATTATTTTAATGGGCTGAAAATAACCTATGGCATTTAACTCCTCACTGTGGCCTTTGGAGGGTCTCTATCACCTGCTGGATTGCATTTAACAGTTGTTTCTATAAGTAGCTAATTAACACACAAAGACAAACCCATTCCCTGCTTGAAACAGTGGGGAAATCCCTTCCTCTTAAGAGTCTTTATGGCCAAAAATCTTCACCTCAGCATGTTTCACACCTCATAGCATTCCAGACTGCAAAACAGCTGCAGAAGTTGGGAGGGGCTGGGCCGTGTCCTGGCTACAAATAAATCTCTGCTGGCCAAAAAGGTGTGAGGTCTCCCTTCTTGTAGAGCATGTTTCTGATTTCCTTGGTTTTCTGTAGAGATGCAGGCATGTGGTCTGAAAAACTGGACTCCATGGTGAAAAGCACTAACTTCCCACATTTTGTTTAAATGGCTAATTGCTGTCTGAGGGAAGTAGTGACCACACCTGCTGCTGACAAGCAGCTTTACCCTGCAGACACCTGTAGCCGGGACAGGGGAGTTATTAACTGCTACATCTGCTCCAGGGAGCCCTGCTGGTTCCCCACTGTGTATTATCCAGCTCTCCTGAGGCTTCACTGTGGTGGGATCACACATGAGGCCCACCATTTCTAGATGCCAGAGCCACTGGTGACATGGCTTTAGCTTCTCTAGCTCTTGGGGGTGTCCAAGGCAGGCTCTTGTATTTGGGAAGTATAGGGCATAGGATTATGAGTGCTGAATAAAGTGATTTCTTGGGTTTTGTGCCCTTACATCTTCCAATGCCAATCAGCATGCTCTGCCTGATCCAGCTCCAGACAGAAGTACTAATCTCTCTGTTAAAACAAAGAGGGAGGTAGAGTCTGTGGGGGCACAGTGCTGTACCTGTGAAGGTGTCTCCCTCCTTATGTGGAAGTTCTGGGCATGTGCACACGTGTGAATGCACACCTCCCTCCAACCCACAAATAATCGTGCTGCTTTCTTTTCCAGAAACCTCAGTGCTCTGAACAAAAAGTCCTTCCACAGGAAGGCCTCTTCTGAAAGCTTCCTCCTGGACTCTCGCTGTTGGTTTCTCCTCTGCATCTTTCTTACGTGTCAACTATTCATTAATTATGTCTTCAAATAAAATCACTACGTTTGGCAGCAATAATGATTACTGGCTGCAGGAGGGGGGCCACTCGCGCAAGGAGCCCAGAGAGGCACCAAAGCACTTTAGAACCAACGCGGCAGAGGTGGAAGAAAGTGGAAAAACGAGGTTAAAAAGGGACCTAGGAACCTGCAAAACTTTGTTCCTGCAGATTTTGTCATTTTTGCCTTTTACATGTACATCTTCAAGGACCTCTTAACCTGTACGGGCCTTAATGCTGAAGCCAAATGTAGCTTTAATTGTGCAATTTGTTTTCTATGTCTTGTCATTTTCTGATGCAATTAATAATTACCCAGCAGTATTGGTAACCCCAAAATGGTAAACACCCCAGTGTTTTGGAAAGGTCACACCGGCCTGGGTCATAGCTCCAGGAGTGAGGGAGTGCAGTTGGGGAGCTGTAAAGAATTGATGTCCATGGTGCCTGTCCGGCTGCCTTTAATTAATTATGGGAGGGAGCACACTTGGTCCAAAAATCCACCCCCGGGATATTAAGTCATGATCTGTTTTGTCACACACAGAATGAGACCTCAGGATGTGTTTTATTTTCCATTCCACAGGAACTGTAAATATGCACAATTTCCTAGAGCCATTCCTCTTTAGGAAATGGGAAGTATTCAGTGAAAGCTCCTTGTTTGTTTGCGGAGCTGACTGGTGTACTGGATCTGGCCCATCGAGTGTAACGTCAGATATGCCTGTTTGTAAAATCTGGTCACTTACTATTATTGTTATTATTTGCTATATGGCTGTTTTATAATATCACACACTAGCATTGTAGAGAGAAATCCACTGCCCCAGCATAGGTGAGAAGGATGGGAGAGATATAGGTGTATGTGTGTTCGGTCTTAGGCACATTTTTCGTCAAAGGTCAGGAAAGAGAGAGGGTTTTGCCACTGCATTGTTCAACTCTGTTAATAGTCTTCCTATTTTACACCATTTTTTAAAGATTTGCAATATTTTCTGTAGACTGCGGACAATACTAAGCCTTTCTTTTCTGGCCTGAAGTAGTTCCAAGTGGTAAGTACTGCTATATATACAGCCTTAAAATACTTAGTGGTGGTGCCAGTCTGGGCTATCTTTCAATGTAAATGTTTCCAAATTTTTAAGTACATTCCTTGTCATACTCCCCAGTTAGGGGACACCTGTTTGTGCTTGATATGTTGAAATAAAACTACACACAACTTTCACTGACAGTCTATCTGACAAATTATTTTTGGCTTTGTATTTGATAGTGTTTTACAAGTAAATCACTTTTTAGAGGAAAATCTACAGGAAAAGGCCTCCAAGAATCTCAGACACAGGCCATAAGTTAGAACAGCAATAGCATTTTGATCCCCCTCTGGCTGAAATTGTTTGTGTCTTCTAATTGTAGCAACTTCCTCAGAAAGAAAAGTGGTTGCCTTGGTTTTCACTGTTGTACATGTAAATGTACAGACTTGTCTTGGATTTAGAAAACCTTTATATTAAGGAGGTGACTTGATGACAGCAAATAGATACTTCCAGGAAGAGAACCACAGCTCTCTGACATGGACAGGATGAGAGCTGGCATCTGGAAGCCATCAGGGAACTGATCACAAATAATAAAAGGTGAGTGACTCTTGTTAGCAAAAGTCTCCAGAAAACCAAAGGATTCTTGATCCTTGAGGAATCATACTTCAAGAATGTCAACATTATTGATTCAGATTGGGTGTCTTTTTGAAGGACATCATCCTAGTCACCCTTTCTGAGGAAGTCTGACCTGTGCCACAGATAAAACTTGATGAGATGGGGTCCCCCCACCTCTGGCTGTCAGGCTATGCAAAGTCCTGTATGCACCTTGAAAGTGTTCACTGTGCAAACACATCTGCTAATATCCTTTGAATGCTTCAGCAAGTCAGCACATCTCTGGCCTGTCAGCACAGCTTTCCTCATCACACACATCCTGCTTTGGAATTATTTGAGTTAAAGATAGGAGCCTCTCTGCTTCTGTAGGGCTATTTACATCTCTTGGATACAACTGTGTGTGGGTTTGAGAAATGCTTACTGAAACAACAACAGGGAAAAGAAAACAGCCCATGCCCACCTGAACCAAAGAGAAGCAGTGCTGAGAGGAAGCATCCGGTAGGTGTAAAAGCAAATGCTTGAAATTGTTTGGATCATTTCCATTTTACCAGGCTACGCATCCACAGGGATTTCACTGGGACTTGTTACTGCAGTTAAGTAAAACACTTGCCACAAAAGGAGCAATTCAGTGAAAGAAATTATCAACTTACATAAACTAATTATGCATGAGCAGAGTAGAAGTTTCCAACATTTACTGCTGCTGCCACAGGGTATTAAAAATAATCCAAAAAGGAACAGTCTATAAATCCTTGTGCCATTAATTTTAATCCAATTTCAACATCTTGAGGTGAATGTTCATACCGGATACATGCACATGGAAGATAAAGAGTATTCTTGAGGAAAATCACGTTCAGAAATGTTATTTCTCTGGGAGGAATATCTGCTGGGGGAAAAGCTGAGAACCAGTTCAGGGCGTTAGAAAACCCAGTTTGTGCGTCGTTGGGAAAATTCCCCGTCCATCCTTCTGCCCTCCTTTTCGTGATCAGTGAGCAGCCCGTCAGCGCGCGAGCTTTTTTGGGTGGAAGGGCACGGATCGCGCCGTATCCCACCGTGGATTCTGCCTGCTCTCGATAGGTGCAAAGCGTGTTACCGGGGCGGTCCCAAGGCACGGCCTGGTTTCCCTCGGCTCCGTGGGGGGGGCACGGCGCCCCTGGGACGGGTCGCTGTCCGGGCGGGGGCGGCCGCCCGCGGGGGCGGATAAAGGGGCAGAGCCGGCGCCTCCCCCCGGCCGCGCCGAGCGGAGGCAGGACGGGCAGTGCCGGGCCGGGAGCCGCGATGGCAGCCGGAGGAGCGGCGGGGCTGCTGCTGGTGAGTGCCGGGTGAGGGGCTCTGGCCGGGCCGCAGGGTGGGAGTCTCTGGCCGCTGTCTGCAGGCAGGGTCTCGTCCTCAACCTGCCCGCCGCGAGTGGGGACTGGCACCTGTCCGTAGCCAAATCCCTCCTTTTGACGGGAAAAGAGGCTTCCTCCAAGTCCGGAGTGGAGGAGCCTTGCAGGTTGTCCTACCCTCGTCTTCCTCAAGAGACTTTAGTAACTTACCTGAACTTTTTGTTTGTGTTGCTTGAAACTTCGGGGATCCTGATTATGTGGGTTTCCTAAACCTAAAAAGGATAAGGAAGGGCAGCTGCTGTGAACCCAGCCCCGGGTTGCGGGGAACCCTCTGAAGGGAGTAGGGACTAGTGACGCGTCCTCCGAGTCTCTCCCTAAGGCAGTTGCTGCCGCCTTTCCTTCTCTCCTCGGAAAAAAAAAAAGAAAATTACAAGTCAGGAGTGAGCTTTATAATTGTCCTTGGTGAAACTGTGAAACTGGAAGTTTCCTGAACTACGCGATTACAGGAAAGACTTTCAGTCTCCCAGGGAGAGAGTTGAAAGAGCGCAGCTGCGGGAGCCGAGCTCTTGATTTCAGCTTGGAAATTGCCCGCTGATGGCAATTAGCGGCGGGAACCTCCGCGGCTGTCCCTTCCTCTCCCCCTGCATCTGTTCTAGGACCTTCTCTCTCTTACGGTTTACAAGTGAGGGATGTACTTTGGTGTCTCGAAACCGAGCTCCGCGCTCGCCTACCTGCGAGGCGCTCAGGGCGTGTGCCCCGCGGGCCTGTTCCTCTTAAAAAAAATTAATAATAATAAACATATGTAAAAATATATGTGTGTGTGTAAACATTCCCAATGCTCCTGTGGCTACAGTAAGTTATTTTTGTTAATGACTCAACTTGCCTTCTGCTTACGATTACAGTGAGAAATGCTGGATGAGGTCTCTGGGGCGTATCCTCCATTTTGCGGGGGTGGAGGGGGGGAAGACTAACACTGATCCCCATGAATTAAAAAGATGGGAGGAGGGAGAAACGAATGCCTTGCATGTGGCAGAAACTTAGGCCTCTGAAGTTCCATTGCAGTGAACTAGTGGAAGGAGAACAGAATTTTAAATGGAGTCAGGGATCTGTGGCAATAGTTGTCTAAAACCCATCAGCTGCTGCACGGTGGTGCTTTAACCCCAACTTTGTGATTGCAATTACTGCTGTGAGCAGCACTTAGCAGAAATTAGTTTGGGTTTCCTCTGTGGCTTCCCATAAACTTCTGAATGTGTTTCCAAGTCTTTACTGTTTCATCTCCCTGAGATGGTTATCATGTCCTGGGAGGATGATTCACTCAAATGCCTGTTTGTCTTTGCTGTAGGTTATGCTGCTGACAATGCCTGGAACCCGAGCAAAGAACTGTGAAGAGGGAGAGTACTTCCATGAAGGACACTGCTGTGTATCTTGTCCAGCAGGTAAGACTTTGAGAAGCTACAGCTGATAATGGTCATGTTTCTTTCTCATGGAGATGACTGATCACTATTGTTTTTTACGGTTTCATCTGGTGAAAGTGTAAGCCCATCTGGAGCTGTGATGGCTTCTTGGGGCTGTTAAGGCTGGACTCCATTTTGAAGCAAGAGTCCCTTGTGTGACAGGTGATGACTGCGAGAGGTGCCTTGGCAGCAAGCCAGGAAAACTCTGCTCGTGGTTGAAAATAAAGTGTTCGAAATTGGGTATTGTTTGGTTGGGTTTTTTGTTAACAAAACACAGTTAGCACAAAGAACAAGCCATGAGGAATTGTGGTATTTCTGTGTCTGTAGGTAAAACTTGAGTCTGGTTTTGCTCTCCCCTCCTTGCTCAGTGTGTGCAGAGTTAAGGAGTTTTGTGTTGAGAAGTACCCTGCCCCTATAGAGCATCAGAGGGCTATTTAGAGGTAATTCAGAGAAAGGAGAAGAGTAGTTCTTACAAGCAGTTCTCTCTGTGCTCATCAGCTCCTTCAGAGATGGTGCTGGCCATATAGCTGACTCTAAGCTGTTGCAGAGAGTCATCCTTGTCCCCTGTGTGTCCCAGCAGAGGCCTGGCTGTATGCCTCGTCTGGCACCGCTCCTTGCCTGAGCAGCAAACTGGGAATATGCCTCCTGACTCTCCTGTGCTGGTTCATGTGGCACATGATTCATTTGTGAGGAGGGGTTGGACTCTCCTCAAAATGGGTTTGTGTTGTAACATCCTGTTATAGCCCTTTGTCTGTTTAAAAGATCCCTTGAGACTGCTGCTGCCGGTTCTCTTCTTCCCCAGGTACTTTTGCTGCTGAGCACTGCAGTGCTCCACATTTGAGAGGAAAATGTCACCCTTGCAAGGAAGGAGAAAGTTATACCGCCCACAAGAACGGCTTGGACGAATGCTTGTCATGCAGACAGTGCAAAGATGGTACCGAGCACGATTTTGATGAAGCCTTAACCCTTTCCCCTTTTTAATGTGGAAAATCTGATCCTCGTTGAGATTATTGAACTTAGAAAGAAATTGCCTTTATGATATGAGTATAATTTTTGCACAGTTGTAGAGTCATATCTTTTATATTTACTTTGTAATTTTTATGTTTTTTTTTTAGATCAAGTAACTGTGAGACCCTGTACCCTGACACACAATACTGAATGTGAGTGCAAACAAGGGTATTTCTGCACTGACAAGAGCTGTGAAATATGTCAGAGACACAATAAAATGTAAGTTTGATAAAGAATATAAGTGACTGTTTTCTTTCTAGGGAATGTTAGACCTGTGGCCCAATCAGTGCCAATAGCTAACACATGTTATCTGGCTGTAAATAATTGCCCTGAAGCCAAGTGGTATTACTCATGCATTTAAATTTCAGGTGTCAAAATATGTGAAGTTGAGACCTAAAAAGACATGAACTTGGGTATTGTTGTGCTTGTTGCTTATGGCTGCAAGCTTGCACTTTTCATGTCTTCAGATAAGCATTTCCCCAGGTACACACTTGAATAAGCTTTCTAGCACCCAGTCAAAAATTTTGGGAAGTAGAACTACCTGTTGAAGGCAACTAACTGTGCATGAATAATGCATCTACTGTGGTTTGGTTTTTGCATTCCCCCCCCCTACTTATAAGCTAACATACTTGAGCTTTATCTGCTCTGCTTCTATTTAATCTTGTAGTACTATCTTGGGTTGTTTAAAGGTGCACTTCTAACAAAGTTATCTGTTTATGCCTCTAAGCTCTGCCTGAAACAAGTCAGGTCTATACAGAGCTGCATGTTGCTCTGGAAATGTTGATACAACCCTGTGTTGCCGTCCACTGCAGGTATCCGGAAGGCAAAGAAATCGACCGGAACTGCAATGCTACTACAGGCCTAGGATGTGACTTACCGGATCAAGGTCTGGTACAGAAATCCCACTCAGCTTGGTTTGTTGGGTCTGTGGCTTCAGGCTAATAACACCATAGCAGTCTGTAAAACAGTGGTTTGAACTACTGTAACATATTTAACAGCTTCTGTGTTTTAGTCTGGGAGTTACTTGCTAAAGACAAACTCTCAAAGGCATTGGAGTGACAAACCATCTTAAGTTTCACTGGGTGAAAAGCTACACGTGTTGCCAGGGTTTTCAAAGTTGCAAGGGTGATACTGCTGAAGGTTCTAGATACGTTTCCTATGCCTGAGAAGCTGTGTATGGAATAGCTTTCTCTTCTGCTGGTAGATAGCTTCTGCCAGACCAGAGGAAGACTGAACTGACACCATCTATGTTACAGTACCTCAAGCTTGCTGTCACCTTTTGCATACTTGTTTCCCCTTTTAAGTGTCTGTCTGGAAGACCTTGTAGAAGTTGTGTTGCAGGTCTATGCAGAATCCCCTGCTGCCTTTGGGGTAATGATGTGCAGTGTAAACGAGTGCTTGCACATTCAGGTCAGCTGAAAGTCCCCAGTGCCTCTTCCAGGACAAGCTAGCAGAGTTGTTGACTAGTGCTGGGCTTAGGCTGTTTCCTAGGACAGCAAGGAATATCTTTTTGGGGGGCTGCTTCAGTACTAATTTTATTTCTTTTTCCTTCACAGGAAGCACAGCTCTTTCTTGGGTTATTCTTCCAATCATTTTGGTGGTTGTTATGGTTTTGCTGTTCTTGGTATTTAAAAAGTTGAAGTGTGATAAAGGTAACTACTTGATTCTTCTCCATAAAATTTGCTTTCCAGAATTAGGTAAAGCATGCACTAGGGCTATCTCTGGAGTTTGTGTTACTTTTATAGGGGACCTTTTTAAGCTCTAGTTCACTTAGCATGTGATTGAAGAAGAGTAGTTTTGTTAAGTAAATAAAATGCATAAACCTTAACTGAGCATCGTTATTTTGCTGACAGATGCCTTTACTTCAAAGCAAGATTATAATTAGGTCCTTAAAAAGGACTTTTCCTATCTACTTGCCTGGTATTGGCAAAGACAAAAACCTGTGTCAGCTCAGATGCATGGTGCAAAAAGTAGCAACTAATTAGTTCATTAACTACTTTTGTTCTCTGCATTTGGATGTGGAGATTTTTCTACAAATTGTTGCCCTTTCATCATTTCAGCCTCTTAATGAAGGTGAATGTTAGGTTGATAAGTCCTGTGTGAATTTATTCTTTTAGTGAAATTGAGCTGTTTTCCTTGGAAATTTCTCTTTCCACTACTGTGCATTAAGGTGTTTTTGCAACTAGTGTAGTTAGAATAATGTTAAAAATTGGTCTGAATTTTGAATGCTAACTTTATTCAAATCATGCTTTACCAATTGTATTGCAGTAAAAACAATTTCTATCTTTTCTGTATTGCAATAGCCCACAAAAATGCTGCATAAGCTGGAGTGGGGGAGCATGCAAGAGTGACTTAAACTGCATCTTATTGTCTGCATTTTACTAAGTGGGACTCTTCTCTCTATGAAGGCACAGTGTTTGTGCTGTTGGTGGAAGCTAAGAGTATTAGTGTCATGAAATGTATGACATTAAGGAAACTTAATGGCTTGTACAAGTTTTGGTTTGTGTTACAAAAGTTTCTATTGTGTATAAATCTTGCGTGAATTCATCTATGTTTAAGTTGCTGCAATTCTTAAAAGTTTCTTAGACACTTATTTTGTTTTTCAGCTGCTTCAGCTGATAAGTATGTGATAGATCAAATGTTTCATCTCAGTTTTGTGCAGTTTAATTGTGCACTGCTTAATTGTACTTGATGCACAGCCCTCAATGTTTGTCTCACTGTAGACCTCCGGTAGGATGTGTTCCTGTGATGCAAGAAATTGTGATTCATACAGGGCAGATATTAGCAAGGGCCTGATTAGCTGCATGTGTCTTCTACAGTTGGGCTTTCCAATACTTCCCTTGGAAACACTTCACATCCTGTGACCAGGATGTTTTGAAAGCAGAAAAAAATTAGATGAGATTCAAGCTTTCATTTCAGACTGTCTCCAGATGATATCTTGATCCAATTTAGTTTTTTTGCTCTTTCACATGTGTTCTGCAATCAGTGTCAGCTACCAGTTACCTGCATGGTGGTGTTCAAACTTTTATTGCAATTTAACAAAAAAATTTTGTTCATAAGACCTACTACTCTTGGTCCAGTAAAGTGACTGAGCCTTCCTGCCTTTGGGCTCATGTCAGAATCTACAGACCAGAACAGTCTAACTTTTTGGCTCTAAATAGTCCCATAAGGTGAGGAATTTGGGGCTAAGAGCATGCCAGTTCCAAAGTGCATCCCTAAAAATGGTTTACCAAGCTAAGGCTGGCTGCTAGCACGTGTTCCACTGTAAAGCTGGATATACCCTGGCCTGCTGTAGTCAAACATATTTCAGAACTTTACTGTTTCAGTAGGAAAAAAACCCACTAGTGCTAATCTAGCATTTTGCAATATAAATACAAAATTAGTTTGTATTTACCTAGTCTAGCTTTAGCTTCTCTAGTTAGAACCTATACTCCTAAGAGCACTCTGAGGCAGAAATTAGCTCAGTCTTAGCAGTACAGTTAATGATGTGTAGTGCCAAGGTGTAAAACCAATTTTAGTCTTGATGAGGATCTAAGAAAAATATCCAGATTACTCTCATAGCATGTGTACAACACTACTTCTCCCTGCTGCTTTTCTTATCCTCCTCCCAATACACTACTCACTCAGTGTGTGAGCTCATCTAATGCTACCAATTAGACATTTTGAACAATTAAATGCATTGTAATTATGTAAAAAATACTTGAAGACTGAAGAAACAGAATTGAAAAAATATGTTTAAAAGTATCACCTTAAACTCTGATCTCCTTTTTAAGGTCCGTAAGTGGCTCAAATATGTCGATCACCTACACTTTTTTGCTAGGTTGTCTCCCCCCCACCCCCTGGCGAGATTTGCAGTACTTCATGTATTTGTAGAAGCTGAAGACAGAAAACCTGGTCAAAAAGCTGTAGCACAGGAATAGGCAAATATAACATCCCTTTAATTTGAATTAAAAGACAGTAGAATAATGCAATTACAAATTGGTGCATGGAGACACTTAGCTCTTGTGTAAGAGCTGTCACAGACTTGAGATGGAGTGTCTGTGCACTTGGAGTGTTCATGCTGCTGTAATAGCTTATTTGCTAAGGAGAGTTACACTGATAGAATTCTGAGACCAGGTATTTTGGCACCAACACACTGTCCTTTCCAAAGTACCAGTGAATTTATGTAGCTCTGAAAAAAAAATCCCAACAGTTGCTAATACTCTGATAGCTGCTGCTGTATTTTGAAACAAAATGGTCAGCTGTGCTATATATTTTCAGTCACTTGGCTTCCTATTTAAGAACTCTGCTTTATAAAAAAGATCAATTTCTTTAACCTGTTTACACCCTTAACAGAAAGTGTTTTCAATGAGAATGATGTACAACTACATGTGTGATGTGTGGGGAGGTTCCCTTCACATCCCTGCTTATGCATGTCGGTCATATGGTGGTGTCACACGTGGGTCACTGACCTTGTGCAAGCAGAAACCACACTGGCTTATGCTCACAGAGGCTGTACCTTAAAAACCACACGTCTCGTGGGAAGAACAGTTACTCTTCACCCTCATTTTCCACATCTTAAAAACAATATTCCTAAAACTTTCTGATTTTAGCACTAGCTGATATGTTAGATGCTAGTCTGCTTTGTACTTGTACTGTTCATGGTGAGTTGGGGCTGTGCTCCTTGGCATATGCTTTAATGAACTGGCAATGCTGAAATGGATGCAGCCTTCCTTGGTTGCTTCCCTCTTTGTCCCCTCACAAAAGCTATGTGATGTGCACTGGTGCTCCCTGGTTTCTTTCAACTGATTCCAGTTTGTGAATCTGCCAGGAAAGTTAATCCAGCCAAAGAAAGCCTAAACTAGTGCACTACATGGAGCTGATAGGCTATAATCAGCTTGGCAAAAGTTGTGAGAGCACCAGCCTTGACATAGCAAGAGGCTTGAGCCCCCTGTTGCTGTTAAGTCAGCTCAGGTGAAGCAAGGCAATTTAATTTCCTCCTAACTTACAAGAGGTGCAAAACTTCTGTACCTAGAGAGGAGCAAGAGAAATCCCACATCAGAGAGAACATCAGGAAAAGTTTCCTGCATTTTTTGTGGAGGTAGCCTGTGAGCCTTACCCCACAGTCCAGTGGGAGCAGAACAGACATTAAAGTGAAGAGCTGGGCTCTAAAACCATTTGAACTCCAGTTCTGTGAAGGCTGTAACTTTGCCATATTAGCAGGTCTCCTGTTATTTCTCTATCTGGTGGTTTCAAGTGTTCTCTTTTCTTCCCCTAGACTGTCTTTGTAGACCTACCTATGAAACATCTCTTAAAGCATGTTATTATTCTTTGCAGAAGTCTGAGGGCTGTAGTGAAAGCCTCATTTTGCCAGAAAGGAAGACACCTGCATCTGCAAATAACTCAATGAACCCAGAGGATGAGAACTGTGGTGAGAGCCCAGAGAGCCAAGAACAAATCAATATTAACTTGGAAGTAGAAGACACATCACCAGAGGAAGATAGTGCACTTACTGAGCAGGGCACCATCCTGCATGGGGACTGGAAGCACCGTGTGCTAAGGTGGTTGAGGAGGATTCCTGAGTCTTCATTACAATCAAAACCTGGCCAGAATTCTGCTTTTCATCAGAATAACCTATCTAATGTATCAAGTATTAGAACACCAGCAAATTGTGTGGTAAGTGTGTGTATGTGAAATTATCATGATTTCTCTAATACATGTGTAATTTCAGTTCCATTTTTAACTATTTCTTGAGTTTTCAGGCAGAATGATAGAGGAGACTTTGCATTAAAGATGTAATAGAAAGTATGGAAAGTGATATCTTGGGAAAGCAAACTTCAATCCCTTACATTTAATTTACTCTGCGTCTTTCATCTCCCTGTCAAAATGTACATAGAAGCTGCTCTGTAGCAAAAGCAGCAAATGTGTTGCCTTGTTGCTTCACTTCAGAGCTGTTTCATCATGCAATTTTCTTTACTCAAATACTTTCAGTTGTGCTGTGAAACGTTGTTTCCCTTCCCAATGGTGAGTGTGCTGTAGAAGCAAGCTGTCAAGTAGGTCAAGAATAATTGTAAGTGAACCACCCTGATATGTTGGAGTCATGGTCCAACTTTGTATTACAGGTACGAGAACCAGAGCATCGAATAATTGTTAAAGATCTCTCTCAAAAAGGTAAGTGTTCCATAAATTGACAGTACTTGGAATTTGGTTTTGTTTCCTGTTGACTAATCTGCTTAAAGAATAGTGTAGGGAGGCTAATGAATACTGCTTAGAGTTATAAGGCTTTTAGTAAATTGTAAAATATGCTGAAACAGGATTATTGCTACACTTGAGAGAAGTTGTAATCCTTGTCGTGAATTGTCCTACTTTTAAAGCATGACTTTTCTGCACAGGGAGCCATGATTTTAAGAATAAGAATGGTACAAATTTTTTTTAACAAATATTTTAAAACAAGGCTGCACTGCAGCAGTGTACTCTGCTTTAGTGAGTGGGGGGTAGGTCAGAGCAGGAAATCTTTCTGTCAAATGTCCACTGACATGGAAGACTCCATCAAATCCCCATACATCTACCTGTACCCAGCAAATTGTGCTGGATGTCCAAGAGGTGGGTTTTTCTCATGATGGCCTTGGGATGGCAAACCTATGGTTAAAGCCTAGTGTGGAGTAGCCCTGTTAAGCTAAAGTGCCAGGCAGTGAAGCATTCCTCAAAACCACCTTTGCTGAATGGTGTCTTAGGAGACTTCTTTTAAGATGTATAGCCCAACAGACCTTCAGCTGTCTTTACAATCTCTTAGTAAGGAAACCTGGTGCTCCTTAGGTGCCAAACCTGGCCTTGCTGCTGCTGTTCGGTCTGTGCAGGCGTTGGCTGAAAATTAAAGGGAAAGCACATACATTAGCTATGAAAAAGAGAATCTGTGTCTTAAAACCCAAGATGATGTGTGTTGTTTTTTCTTTCAGAACGGAGAGTTTGCTTTGAGGCCTTCATAAAGGAAGTACCACCAAAAAACTGGAGGCAGCTTATGAGAACTCATCTGCATGACAATGATATTGATAAAATTATTTATAACTTTCATAATGATATAGAAGAACAATCCTATCAGATGCTTCTCATCTGGAGAAACACACTGGGAGAAAAACAGTGCATTATTAAGTTACTGAGTGAGTTGAAGCATATAGATAGGAAGGCTTATGATAATGTAGTGAACACTTTAAAAAGTAATAACATTATAAGTAAAGCGGAAGCTACAGATAAATGTTTATGAGGAACTTGAGAAATGCTCTTGTGTACATACATGTGTCTACAAACTTCTGTTAAATGAGGACATCAACAAGCTCCAGTAAAAGTGATGGCATGGACTTGATATCCTCCTCACCTCATGCGGAGAGCTGGGAGGGATTTAGCACTGTCGGTGCTTACACGGACTCCGGTTGTGATATTCACTAAGGTCTTTTGAGTTGTACAATATTGAACTCAGGCGCCGGATGCCTGCTTGGGAGCGAGGGGCTCTTGCTTCCCTTTGTGTGTGTGGCAGTGCCGTGCTGTCCTAGCCTGTCTGGCGGGAACAAAGAGGCTGCTGCTGCTTTTGAGAGTATGTGTGCTTTGGTTTCTTCGTACCGTTTTGTTTTGTATCGGTCTGCTTAGCACCGTTGTGTTCGAAGCACGGCAATAAAAGCCTGGTTGAGAGAGAAGCAGGGGTTGACTCTTGGACTTCTTTCGGGTGGTGGAGTCGCCGTCCCTGGAGGTATTTAAGGAAAGCCTCATTGCCATGCTCTAGTTGGCACGGTGGTGTTCGGTCGTGGGTTGGACTCGGTGACCTGAGAGGTCTTTTCCAAGCTGACGGATGCCGCGAGTGCCCGGGGCGGGCGATGCCGCGGGAGGGCGGGCGGTGCTCCCGGTTGCCCCGGTGACGCGGGGCTCCCGTCGGAAGTAGCGTAGGGCGGGCGGGGCGAGGCTTCCGGACGCGCTGTTGCATCAGCTCGGGAGCGAGGGCAGGACGAGGCACCAGGATGGCAGCAGCGGCCGCCGCCGAGCACGGTAGGTCGGCGACCGGCGCCGCGGAGCCCCGGCGGGGCCAGGCGAGGGGCCCGCCGGGGTTGTCACGGCCCGGCGGCGGTCGGTGTCGCGGCCCCGCCGCTGTCACGGTGTCAGGTGGGAGATGGGGGCGGTGGGGCGTCGCCGTGGTCGCCTCCTTCACGCGTCCCTTGAGATCTGCATCCCTTGGCGCCTGCGGTGGCGGGGTCCCCCCCGGGCCCCTCCAGAGCCCGTTCGTGGGGACCCCACCGCCGCAGCCCCCCGAGGTGCCTCCGCGCCCATCCCGTGGGTGCCCGTGGGATGCGGCTCGTATCGTGCCTCGCCACGAACGTAAAGGTTAATGCTGACACGCAGTGATTTGTGGAAAAAAAACCTCGGAGCTCCTCGGTACTGAGGGTTGGAAACAGCTGTTCTGCAGCTCGATGGGTTCCAAGAGGTATTTCGTGGCTGCCAGAGCGCTCGGGCTGTGCGCCTATCGCCGCGTCCTCTGTTCTCTTTCACCTGCCCCTGTGTCTCCCTCGCTGTCTTTCCAAGTCATCACTGTTCTCCCTTGAACTCGTGTCTGAACTTCTTAGCTTTTCCGGATATTTTCTTTGGTCATGGTTTAATGACGGGTTGTACTGCTCACTTCCATATGGAAGAAGGGCTAGGGTAGTCCTGTAATTTTTGGCACTACCGTAGCAAATAGAAACTTGGAATACCAGTCATGCAAGTATGAAATACCATTATGGTGTGTAAAGGGTTGGAAATTTCTGTCATTCCAGTTAAGGAACTGTAAATTCAAAGATTTTGCTCCTTTTTCTTTGCTACGGAAAGTTACTTTGCCCTCTGTTCATCAAAAGTAACATTCCCATTAAAGTGAAATATGTTTTCAAGGGATTGCCTTTTTTAGAAGTGTTTTCAGTATCTTAGGAGAAAAAAACCCCAAAAACACCAAAGGCTCAGTTCAGGTGCCCTTTAAGAAACTTTTTAATTGAGTTTATAATTAGGCAAATAGCTTTTTCTTCTTTCTTTTTTTTTTTTTCCCTGCAGTTGCAATTGTTACATTTAGTTTCAGTTCAGGAAAAGTGGAAGTGAAACTGAGAGGGCTCAAGTGACTGGGACTGACAAGCTCTTCCTCCATGTGGGATACCCCAGTCTTAAAAATCTCTGCTCAGCCCAAAGCCTCTTGAATCTCATGTGTGAGTCTTGATAAGTCCTTTGTCTCTCTGTCTATCTGTGCTGTGTCTGGCATAGATGAAGTCACTGCACTGGTTTGGTGGTTCTGAAATGTTTATGGAAAAGGATAATTCATCTTGGCTGAGCAAATAATTGGAATTCCTTCCGAAGGTACCAGTGTGGCCAGCTAGAATAATAAATGGCCAATTTGGAGACATCTTAATAATGAGACTTGTTACATTTGTCTTTTCTGTGTTGTTTTAAATTTGTTGGAAGAGAAATTACCTAAACTAACTAGTTTACTGCCTGCTTTATGGCTTTCCGGTATTTACTTTGCTGTCAACACCTTCAAGGAACAGAAATTTTCATTTTCTAATTAATAAAAGTGAAAATTTTCCATGACAATTGATGTTGTATGGTCTATATGTCTTGATTAAACTTCAGAAGGTATTTTATGTGCAAATAAAATGGAGAAGCAGTCCTATGCCTTTGAGTCTGTGTGTTGCTGAGGTCTTGCAGACAAATCCCAGTGTCCTTTAGTAGTCTCTAAAGCACTCCATGCATGGAAAGAAGAATGTGTGACAATTATATCCGCCAAAGAGATTGTACACCAGCAGCTATTTTATGAGAACTGCATTAGTTAATATCTACAGTAGAATTTTTTGGAAACAACTTCGTAATGTTTTATTGTTAACATTAATTCTTATGATTTTTCAAGGTTATTTTGCTGCCTCTCCAATACTTGTTCTCTGTGCTTATTTCCTGAATGGAGTAGCTGTTGGTTTGATTTGATATCTATGGATCATTCCATTCACATGAGTTAAAACTCAGTGTTATGCAACGGCTCTGTAATACTCCCATGTTTGTGCTGTCAAGAAAACACTTCTTAATGCAATGGAGCAATAACAACTGTAGTTTTTCTTTAGTGGGAGTGGAAAAAAAATTGCAGTCAGAGAGAAGGGCAATTTCTTATCTGTTTTCCTAAAGCAACAGGGAAAACAAGTCAGATGTACATATATCCATTGGCCCTTCTCCCTCATTACTTTTTGAATCCATCGATTTTTACTAATTGCATTTAACAGTGGACTGCCTCTTGCACACAGTTGGCTAACAGACTGAGCAAAGATGGGTTGGAGCTGTACAGGAGGATGGGGATACTGAAGTATATGGGAAGAGGGGATGCAGCACTTAGGAGGTACCAGGAAATACATCAATGGGAGTGTGTGATGAATTAAAGGCAGTGCAAGACACTGAAGGAGGAACTGAGGGTACAGAATGGTCACAGAAAAACAAGATTTTGTAGATTTACTATTCTCGTTTTAGTAGTGATATCAATTAAATCAGAATAGGCTTTTATGTAAAAGTAGTTTTTACTAATTTCTTTTGCTTGAAAAGAAGTGGTTCACTGCTATATTGCCATCCAAAAAACACTGTTACCACAGTCATTCTTTCTTTCCAGGAGAGTACCCCGTTGTTCATGAGAAAAGCTTTAGTTTTGTGAGTTCAGTCCAGTTTGGAGCTACTCACAAGAATGCCAAAAGTGAGAATGATTTTGTCCTGCATGTGCTGAAATAGGATGCTCAGAGGTATTTCAGAATTGCACTGATGGTAGAATCATAGAATGGCCTGGGTTGGAAAGGACCTTAAAGATCATCTCATTCTATTCTCCTCCTGTGGGCAAGGACACCTTTCACTAAACCAGGTTGTTCAGAGCCTCATCCAACCTGGTCTGGAACACTTCCAGGGCGGGGACATCCACAATTTCTTCATCAAACACAGCAACTTTGCCTGTATCTGCAACTGGCTGCAGCAGAGAGTAGAACACATTTGTCATAGCTTCAAGTTGTCATGTTCTGAAAAGTAGNAAACCAGGTTGTTCAGAGCTCCATCCAGTCTGACCTTGAACACTTCCAGTGATGGGACATCACTCAGCACTCTCTCAAACACAGCAACTTTGCCTGTATCTGCAACTGGCTGCAGCAGAGAGTAGAACACATTTGTCATAGCTTCAAGTTGTCATGTTCTGAAAAGTAGCTGTGGGTCTAGAAAATAAAGTTTGGAGCTCAGCACAGCCTGTGAAATGAATGTAGGACACTCAGGTTGGTACAGTGAGCCTGCTGGGAGCTCGAGACTGCTGTGGCTCAGCTACTGCTGCACTCTGAGGAAACCCTGCCAACAGCTGCTCAGGTGTGTTCTTGCTGTACTGCACGTGCTGTGGTGCCCAGTCATGGCTGTGAGTTTGGGCTGAATTTGAGTCAGGAATCAGTTTCAGCATAAAGAAGTCCTCCTGTTAGGTCCCCTGGGCTACAGGAGTATTTGATGTATTAGGCTTTCAAGCCTGCTGTCGCTCTTGCAGCCAGACACAGGCCAAACTTCATAATTTCAAGTATTAATGTGTGTGCCAAGATTGCTTAAAATAATTTTGGTTTGTCAGAGCTGAGCTGGTACTGATACTCACAGGCAGTATTTGCCATCTCTCCTTGCCAAAATTGGTTTGTATGAGTTCTGTCATATTTGTTGGATTTGTGTGTAAGTTTGTGCAACTTCCCTTTTAGATTGGTTTGCAGATGTGGTTGGAAAGTGCTTACATTGTTTCATATTCACTGACTTACATCCCATTAGCAGCCTGGTATGTGAATAATGGTCATAGTAACCCTAATCATATTTTGCAAATTGAGTGTTGATTTCCTTGCAATACATCTTTCAAGATCTTTTCTTTGAGATATAGTTTCATTTCTACACAGATCATTCTTGTAATACTTTTTTTTTTGGCGTTCTCCCTCATATGATTCATGTATACAAAAATTCACATTCAAGGAAGACTTATGTCTTAGGTTTCCAGAGTTAATGAACACAACTATTTCAAACTATTTCATGTGTATAAACATGTGAAGTTCTGTGATGATAAAATCAGTAAATACTTAGGAGCGTGAAAAGTTTATAGTAAAATGAACTACGTGAGCTGAAGCTGAATCCCATTCAGCTGGGTAAGAAAAGCCCATAAGGTCTAGTCATGAACCATTATTTCCTTGTTATTCTTTATTTATACTGAACAGTTATATGGGTAGGCCTTCAGAGAGATTTTACATGAGTTTGTCTTTGCTTTTCTATATGAATCTTTTGTGAACTTCTATTTTTTAAATTGTTTTTTAAAATCATTGATATTTTTTATTAGTTCTGATGTGCTATCTTATATCATTTATACCCAAAAGAGTCAAACAAAAGCATGCTTGGTATCTAGCTGCCATTTCCATGTCATTCTGACTTGCTGTTGGATATTTTAATAATTGATTTCCATAAGCTGCTCATAAAGCCTTAACTGATGATATTTGGAAAAACTTTTCAGTTGTACAGTTCCTCACATCCTTTCTTAGCCATCACTTCCCTGTCTCCTTCCATTCTTGCCTTTCCAAGAGCGTTGGTCTGTGAGTACCTCCAGTGCTTTAGGAACTGCTTGTGCAGGTGTTCATTTCAGTGTGAGAAGCAACACTTCTGGCCA